AACATTAAAAATATCTCATGTCTTATGTTGCCAATGTAAAGTACAGGGGAGGTGGAGTGTTAGAACGAACCAAAGTAGTCCAGATGTTGAAGCTTGAGTAGAGGAGTGCCATGGCCAAAGGCGGCTGTGCCAACAATGGCATCATAGGTCCAGCTTGTTGGGGCTGCAATACCATGTCAATAAGGTGGAAGGCCTGCGCACAAAGGCAGCAGCTCCATCGCAGCTCTGGCATGTGGGTACGGCATCACAGCGACATCGCAGTCATCGATGAATGTGCTATCATACTATCATAGGCTGCATCATCATCACAAATTCGTCTTGCGGAGGAGGCGGTGGCAAGGTCACAAGTCCACCATCACGAATGAACCACCAATCGTGGGCACCGAAGCCGCTTGCAGGGGCATCAGTGCCACCATCGTCGCCCCAAGCATAGCCAAGGGCGCCATCACAGCGACAATCGCGCCTGCGGCCACATCCCATCTCATGAGTTACTTCCCCCATGGCGCCTGCGCCACCACGGACACCCCCATCACAGGCGATCACAGGCTCACAGCAGCGACTCGCGGGGGCGCCGCCGCCGCAGCGATCGACCAGCTGGGTCGGAGCCATCAGCCCTCCACCGAATCCGAGGTCACCCCTCCAGCTGACGCGTAAGCACGGTTACTCCGGTAAACGGCGGCTCCGGTGGAGATCATCAAACAGTTGTGGATGCCCTTCTCTCGCATATAGCAGGTTGGCGTATCCGACAACGGAGGAGCGGGCTAGGGTTTGGGGGTTTAGGGAATGCGGGTGCGGGGACGATGTGGGGTAGGTGAGGTACACATTCCCCTAGGTCGTCGCGCCCGCCGGTCACCGTCTTTGGCTCCGGTCGCCGTGGAAGGGTGGGAGCGGCGACCGGCGAGGCGGCGCGGTGGCCGTCGGCAAGAGCGCGAGGCGGCGGCGGCGTGAACGAAGGATGCGGCGTATGACGTGTCACGTGCGGCGGTGGAGTAGCCAGGAGAGTTTAGTGGACTTAGAATGATGGGCCTAAACTAAACTGCAAGTGTGTTTGGCCTGTTTGTTGAGGCCCATCTAGAGGAGATCTCCACGTGGGAATCCGTTCCGGCTCAAGTAGTTACGCCCAAGGTTGGCAAGGTTGGCAGTACCCTGATTCGTATTAGTATCTTACGATACTACGATCCTATCAAGCCGAAACAATACCGATCCCACCTAGTATCTTATCCTACTATTCATTACTACACGATCATACGAAATCTTAGGTAGTATCCCGATTCTACGATCCCTACGATACTACAAAATATTATTTTAAATAACATGGTTTGAAAATAATGTAACTAAATATGCTCAAATTTATATAAAAATCAGTTAAATATATCAAAACCAACGTGGTTTCTCTTGATAAATATCTCTATTTACATGATATATATCATTACTATATTTTTTTATACAAAATGGCTATATATAATTAACATAAATATTAATTAAACTTAAAAAAAATCTCTTAGTATCCCGATACTACGATACGATCCTACGATATGACATTACTTTGAGCAAAACGATACTGTCTAGTATCTCGATTCTGACAACCTTGGTTACGCCCATATATCTGCTCCCAAAGTTTGCCGGATCGAGTTATCACGGTTGTGCAGTGCAGCTCAGATCGAGTGAAAGAACGCAATGCTGGAGTGTTTTCACTGAGAAATTCTATCTCTCGACCTCTGAATAGTAAGCTCCAAAGTCATCGAATGTAACCCAGTATCTTCTAATTGCTTGTTTTTAATATGTAAATCGAGTTGCCAGTTGCCACCAAGGTTTATCTTCCCGTTTCAGAGGTGAAAACCACTCTTTGACGAAAACGGGTGAAGACTGATTACTTTCAGTCAACTTGCTAAATCGATCCGTCTTTTGTAAACCGACCATTAGCAATTTCATGGAAAATGGGTCGTTTTTGTTAACCCGGTTTTCACACTCGCACTGGTGGTAGTGTATTTCTTCTTCCGTTATCCACTCTCTCCAATTAATCCATATCTGTTTTGTTGGGAGGTAACTCCGGGCTCGGATGTCCAATGTTCGGAGAAAAATCGGACACTGACGTCAGCATGACGTCAGCGCCCGATTTACGTGAAAAACTAGTTTAAACTGATTTTTCTCTTAAATTACTTATCCAAATCATGATTCGATTGCACCATTAAATTCGTTGCAATTAAATCTTCAAAACAAGACCACACATGGATATATTCCGATGAAATTTTTTTTAGCTTATTATTAAATTATTTTTAAATGTTGCACGATGTTTCACCATGTATATCGGAATTGTTTCACTAAATATATCGAAAATGTTTCACTCGTTTAAATCGGGTGTTATTTCACCTTATATAAAAATAATGTTTCAGCAAATAGCGAAATAATGTTTCAGTTCACTGCAACATTTGATCCATTCATAGTGAAACATTATAAGTACACTAGGTGAAATATTTTTTTTGGAACAAAAAATGAAACGAATTCCCTTAACAGGGGGTTTCCAAAATATGTGCGTTTTTTTGTTGCAATGGAATATTTCAGTTCACTACATCATTAGATCTATACATAGTGAAATATTGTGAGTACACTAGATGAAACATTTTTTGTGGAACAAAAAATAAACCAAATTCCCTTAATAGGGGGTTTTCAAAATATGTGGGTGATTTGTCACAACGGCACGTTCCATAATATCAAAATCCACTGCAACATTTGATCCGTACATAGTGAAACATCGTAAAGCTACTGGTTGAAACATCGAAACAGATAATATGCAATATTCAAAAAAAAAATCAATAGAGAAGCTAAAATATTTTTTTGTCGAAATATAATCATGTGTGGTCTTGTTGTAAAGATTTAATTGCAACGAATATAACGGTGTGATTGGATCGTAGATTGGATAATTAATTTAAGAGAAAAATCGTTTTAAAGGCGCAGGCGTCCGAGGCGTCCGATTTTTCCTTCTAACGTCGGACGCCCGGCGCGCAGCATTTACCGTTTTGTTGGATCAACTGCATGGCTGTGCACTCCTATCGCTCCTACAGTGTAAGTGCGTGCTATTTATTTTGCAAAATCTCAGAAAAATGACAGTGCAAGAGATAAGCTAAAACTGAATATCACATCGATCGACTCGAGTCCTTGACGCGCGCTGAAACCGAATGATGTTCAGTGTTGCAAATTGGTGGCTGCATGAAATTTGGTTTGCCGCATTTTTTTAGTCCCATCGTATTATATCGACATTGTTAGGTAAAAGAAAGTTTTCGATGATTTGATCGCTCAATTTAATTATCTCCTGTTTCTCAGCTAGACTATGGGATGCTGACACTGTTTGCAATGAACGTCCATGATAATAAGAGATTAGTGTTCGATCGGTGGTCATTTCAACTTTTCCAAAGTCATATTGGCACCATCATTATTCGGTTAGCTAAAGTGCAGTGTCGAAATCATCACTCTCATTCCGTCTAAACAAACGTCAGTTCATTTTGATCAAATCTTTTAGCATATGTTTAGTTTGGGGACTACGTGGGATGGGATGATACCATCCCTAGTTTTAGGGATGGAGTAATCCCATTTACTTGTTTGATTTATTGGATGGAATGATCTCAATTTTTTGTTTGGTAGAAGGGATGGATAGGGATGGGATGAATGACATATGGAGTCACGTTGCACCACGTTAGTGAGAAAATGTGTCGCAGCTCGCAACTCGCGGAGGAAGTAGAGTGGCAGAAGGATGAGCGGCGACTAGTGGCGCAGGCGGAATGAGGAGGGGCGACCGGCGGCGCGGGCGGAAGGAGGAGCGGCTACCATCGGCGCGGGCGGAAGGAGGAGCGAGTCAGAGGCAACGACGATGCGGAAGTGGTGGCCGGAGCACTCACCCTTGCCCGCCATCACTGTCGCCGCCATCGGAGCCCTCCACACCGCCGCAGCCCTCCTCGCTACCAGATTCGCTACCACCGCCCTCCCCGCCTCCGGATTCGCCACCGCCGCCATCCCCGCCTCCGGATTCGCCACCGATGACGAGCCCTCCCCGCCCTCCCTGCCTTCAGATTCACTGCCGCCACCCTCCCCACCACCGGATCTGCCGCCATCGTCATCACTCACGATGGGTGGAGGAGCAAGATGCGAGTGAGAGGGGCGAGCGAGTGGCGTGCGACGGTGCGAGCGAACGAGCGTGGCGAAGCGGCGCGCCTCACGCCGTGCGCTCGTCCCAGGTGGGACGAGCTCGTCCACGAGATTTTTCCGGATGGCTTGGTTCCGGATCTGAGAGGAATATTCCTGTCCAGGAACCAACCCATCCCACTCACCCCTAAACCAAACACCTTTAAAAGTGGGTTCGTCCCATCCCATCACATCCTATCCCACCAACCAAACACTACCTTAAAGAAACATCAGTGACATCTCCATCACTCCATCAGCGAGTCCATGCCAGATTGCCAGGTGCCCGGTACTCCGGTAGGGTCAGGGCGGATAGCTAGGGCTTGAGCTCTAGGCCTACCTTTAAATTATTGTTTAAATTTTATTAAAATACCGTGTAATTTTTATAAAGGAAAATCAATGCTCCATTAGTTAAGTTATATCTTAGCTATAGCCTTCAAAAAATTTTTGACTTCGTCACTTATAAGGTGGATGTTGTGAGCTCGTCATCAGATCGTCCACGGCGGATGGCGTGACTGGAGTTGGCATCCTACCAACCTGCACAGCTGAACTGCACGAGAACCTCGCCTGATTGTTCTTCACCTTCTCATCACCGTGCAGTTTCACCTGTAGTAACATCAGTAAATAAATTATTCACCATAGGCTGTTCATCTCAACAAGTTGTCCGTGCAATGCAGCCGAGAGTAGGCAAAATAAAAAAAAAAGAAAAAAAAGAGAGAGAGGGTAATTTGGCCTTTGGGTCATCGCACACGATCCGAGGCTTCCCCCCATCCACGGCTGCCGGTTTTTAACCTCACCTACTCCGCGCGCGCCGTCACGCATGTGATTTTCGCAACATTTCCTCGCCGTTACCCGCATAATTTCCTCGAGCCGCCGAGCCCGGTGGAACCGGGTGTGAAGTGGAAGCCCAGCGACCGAAGCCGAGGAGGCGACGCACTCGTCTCGACGCAACGGCGGGTGCGGTGCCTTGTGCGCCGTGACAGCGACATTCTTTACCTGCCCAACCCCAACCCCAACCCTCTCCTCTCCGCCCACGCCTCGCCCTCGCGCTCTCGCTCTCGCTCTCGCTCGCGCACATCACATGCGCCTCCTCCCGTTATAAGGAGAGCCCCGCGCCATTGGCCGCCCCACTCACCCTGCCATGGACGGGTAGAAAGGTACAGTGGCGGCGCCGACACGCGGTGGAGGAGGAGGCGGCGGCGGCGGCGGCGATGGGGCTGCTGTCGAACAGGGTGGAGCGGTCGGAGATCAGGCCGGGGGATCACATCTACACATGGAGGGCGGTGTACGCCTACTCCCACCACGGTACGCGCGCGCCCACCCCCTCCATCCTCTTCCTCCTCGGATGCCATCCCGGTTGCTTGAATTGTTGTCGCCACTCGCCAATGGTGGCGGCGGCGGCGGTTGCGGGTTTAGGTTTGGGAACTAATCCGGCGGCGGCTCTGTGGCTCTCCTCCTCCGGCGCTGCTTCGAATTTTCTCGTGCGATTGACGTCTGATCAATGGTTGTTGACTTGACCGGGAAATTCTGGCTCGGCGAGTCAACGGGGGATTTTTTTCCCCCTTTTTTTTGGTCTGTGCGGCTACTGGATCGGAAATTTCACTGCGATTGCTGGGTCAGGAACAAATGCGATCGAAATTGCCTAGTTGGACTGGAAATTTTGTTCGGCCGGCTCAATGGGGGGAACATTTGCGATCTGAATTTTCGAGTTGGGGTTGTCTCTTGCTTAGTTCATCGGTAACTGAAGGGCGTGTCTTCGTCTCAGTTTTCCATTCTGTCGGATTTGGGATTTCTTTCGCCTCATACTTCCTGCGTGATGTTCTCTTCTCGAGCAAACCCCTCTGCTTGAAGTACGGATCACGTGGTTGGTTGGACAAGTGCGTCAATCATCCAACTCTCTGATTGAGTGATTGTTCAGACTTTTAACTGTTTACAGATTCGTAGTAGAACTCAGCAGTAACACGCAAATCATCGTGCATTTGTACTATCTTCAGTTCATAATTAATTCTGTAGGTGTAGAGTTGACAACATTAGTATGGTAGAATGATGGCTGTAAAATAGTGGCAAAATGGGTACATGCATGAAAAAGATCGATTCAATGTTTCTACTTCTCTGTGTGGGTTATGCGTAGAATTGAGGGTTCAACTGAATTGCCCAAACTCTATCCGGAAATCCTTCCAGATGGATCTGACGCCACATGCTGTGTTTGTTGCTTCCCATGTAGAACAAATGGCACTTGTTGCTGCTCACCTACTGCTGACCAACTTGTCTGTTTGTATCTGTGCTTTTTTTATCTCCGTGTGGAAATTAGCCTCTTGTTTTTTTATAGGAATCCCTCTTGTTAATTCAAGGTTGCTCGCAATAAAATAAGTACTGTAAGGTTGGTTCTATAATGTACTGAACCTGACAAATGACTTGTTTAGTACACTATTGTACTATTAGTGATTCAGTAGCTGAAAACTCAAGTCACCATAGTATCCTATGATAAGTTGATAACTACTTTGATTAACAGTTGATGTCAAACTTATCTACGTGGCTACGTTCATTTTTTATCCTTACCTTCAGGTGTATTTACCACAGTAATTTTGCTATGCATCTTTGTTCTTTTACAGCAGAGGTCTTTCATCTCCATTCAGTTCAGGTGTATTTACCATGGGTATTTTGCAATGCATCTCTTTTCTTTTACAGTAGAGGTCTTTCATCTCCATTCAGGAAGCGTAAAGGACACTTCTGCTCTGTGTTGCTATGCACTCTGTAGTTCTCCTAAATGGACAGTATGTCCCCTCAAGTGCATTTTATTGGCGGATGTAGAGCTCCTTTTATTGTAGTGGTCCTGTGTGGACATTTGATCAGGGCCACATCTAGGGAGGACATGCTGTGGGTTTTGCTGTTTTTGCACATGACAGCCTGGATGAAAGGGCTGCAATATACAAGAAAAACTGTCTTGTCTGCATTCAACTCCTTAAAACACTATTTTCACCATCAAGGTGCATTTTTCATGCATCGATAAAGGGATTGACAGGTTAACAGCATGCCGATTCATTCAGTTATCATCTAGTGTTTTTTTAACCTTTTGGGATGATAACTATCATCCAGTGGATTTAATTGTTCACCTTAAACTTTATAGCCTTGGTGTTCCCTTAATTGCATATTCTTTGAAATGTTTTCAAGAACTTACTCTTCTGTTGGTCATGTTCTACTGGCAAACAGGCATTTATGTTGGAGGAAGTAAAGTGGTTCATTTTACTCGAAAGAAAGAAGCAGAAGGATCAGATTCATCCAATTCCACCTCCAGCCTATTATTAGAGCCTTCATCAGAGTGCCCAACGTTCCCAGATTGTGGGTTTCAGCTGCCTGATAGTGGTGTCGTCCTCACCTGCTTGGATTGCTTCCTTCGGAATGGCTCTCTATACTGCTTCGAGTACGGAGTGCCATCAGCCGTTTTCCTTGCAAAGCTGCGTGGGGGAACCTGCACCATTGCCCAATCAGATCCATCAGAAGTTGTGGTACACAGAGCCATGTACTTACTTCAAAATGGCTTTGGAAATTATGACATATTTGAGAACAATTGCGAGGACTTTGCACTCTACTGCAAAACTGGGCTTCTTCCTGTTGAGGAACCTGGCATTGGAACAAGTGGGCAAGCATCTTCCGCCATTGGAGTGCCATTGGCAGCTCTTCTGTCCACTCCACTTAAGCTTTTTGCTGCTGGTCCACTTGGAATGGCCACTGTCACAGCTGGGATGTACTGTGCTGGTAGATACATCACTGACATAGGAGTAAGAAAGGATGTGGCGAAAATTGAAGTGGAGAATTTATCATCACACCTTGGTAGACGCCTGATTGAAGATGAAGGATCAGTGAACGTACGGTCAGAGAAACCGAAAACCTTGCTGCCTATGAAGAGAAAGCGTGAGAGGTGATGGCGACTATATACCGCTCTTCGTCGATAATTGGTTCAGAACTGTGCATAATTTAAACTTTACTCTTCGCCATAATAAGTTTGATATAGATATGTACCTCTGAAGCGTGTTCTGATTCAGTTAAGACCACACTTCACATGATCAATTGAGCTACATTCCAAACTGAATATGTGATGGAAATGTGATAATTGAATCGTTGGAGTCAAAAGTAGATACTTACTGTTCTTTGAATATGATACCTCACATTCTAGTGCTTTTATTTTCTGTTTATTTTCTTTTATCAATATTTTTTCTTACTGGTCACAATATAATGTAATAAGTTTCAGTAGTGGTGAAGACTTCTTTTGTATGGGCTGTTTTCTCTATGATGAAATCCATAGACTGAATAGTGCAGAGAGACAAGGCAGACTGTCGGCATGGCATTGTTTGCTTTCATTTTCATCAGGTATAATGTACCGGTAGATCCTCCCTCCAAACCTGATCATTGTAAAATGACAGCTTGTCAGGACTCCACCATATGTATCCATCCAAGGAAACTTCGTACCTTTCTGCATGTGGGAGAGATCTGCAAAGATGCATATGCTTTTCTCTGGGAATTATCACACTCGCATAGCCTTTTTACCATTCTCTTTGCGCTCAGCCTTTAATCATTGGATTGATCTGGTAGACCCCATGATCAGTTACCTTTCTCCTGTTTTCCATTTGACATTGTCCTGGATGGTTGGATCAAAAGGATGGCCACATTGTATATTCAGATCTGGGTATGGACTGAGACAGAAAAGAAGTAACCAGTGGCCATTGCTGGGACCATTGTTGCATTCTAGTTGTACTCTCTCCGTTTCATATCATAAGCGCTTTGACTTTTTTTTAAGTCAAACTTCTTTAGATTTGATAAAATTTATAAAAAAATGCATACTATCATTTTCAACATAACACAAACATATTATCAAAATATATCCAATGTTAGATTCAATGAACTAATTTTGGTGTTTTAGATGCTGCTATTTTTTTTAATATATAAACTTGATCAAACTTATAAAAGTTAAACTAAGAAAAAAAGTGAACACCTAATTTCTGGTACATCATCTGCGAACAACTGAACGGAGCTACCATTTCGATGCATCAGCAGCACGCCAGCACAGCACAGGAAATGAAACCATTTCTACGACTTCAGTAATCAACACTTCAGCAGCGGATAAAAAACTTTAGTTCTACCGGGATGTACTGTGTGCGCGCACGTACGTAACGTATGCTTCCTGAAAGCATCACTATGTGCCGGTCGCAAAGCAGGCGCAGCGACGGCGAGCAATGGCAAGCTTGATCGGCAACGCCGGCGACGGCGGACGGTGGAGACGCCGGCAAAAAAAAAAGTTAGATGATAAAAGGGCTTTACGGCCCATCAACATCTCACTGGATGCACGTTCCAGCCCACTAAGAAAGACAGATAAAAGGGCTTTACGGCCCATTTGTCATCCCTGGATGCACGTTCCAGCCCATTAAGAAACACAGGGAAAGGGCATGATAGTAAGTTGTTATTACGGCCCACGTCATCTCGCTGGCGGTATTTTACGGCCATTAAAAAAAGCATCACAGAGAATCATCCCATTTAAAGGCATCAAGGAAGTTTGTTCTGATTTTGCATATCTTCTGCATTGATAGGGAATCAGTTTTCGTGTCTATCCAATTATTGTTGGGCATCAAAACCGTCACCTTGCAATTGGTAGTTTTTGTACCTTTGCTTATCTGCGATTAAGGTGGTGTTCGGATCCAGGGACTTAACTTTAGTCTCTATATTTAGACACTAATTTAGAGTATTAAATATAGACTACTTACAAAACTAATTATATAAATGAAAGCTAATTTGCGAGACAATTTTTAAACCTAATTAATCTATAATTAGAGAATATTTACTGTAGCATCACATAGGCTAATTATAGATTAATTAGGCTCAATAGATTCGTCTCGTGAATTAGTCTAAGATTATAGATATGTTTTATTAATAGTCTACGTTTAATATTTATAATCAGTGTCTAAACATCCGATGTGATAGGGACTTATAAGTTTTAGTCCGATCTAAATAGGGTCTAAGTCTTGGAATGGTCAAGTAGCCAACCATGATAGAGGAAGAGAGAAAAAAAAAAGGAGCAAGAATGTGATGCCAGGCATTAAACTATCGCTGTGGTTGTTTCTTATACTCCACGGCTTTCTGAAATCTGCACAGTGGGGAGTAAAGCCCACCTTCCTTTTGCTCTTTGCCTTGCTGTAGCGCTCCTGTAGGTTTGCCTATTTATAAGCCGAAAACAGGAGAACAAAACAATGAAAATATTTTTATGGCAAAGGCTTTTGTACACATGGTTTCAAGGCAAAAGCTCAGTATTGAAAGCGACAAAAGAATCTGTCTAAATTAAACTCTAAATCAAATTTAGTTGCATCATAAGCCACGGTTTTAAGACCAGGTTTGAGAAACTACCGACAGAAGATGCCAAAGAAACTTACATTATCACTCAAATCTGTGGTTATAAATCTTAGAAAAAATAATAAACTAGAAACCAAAAACCAAGAAAAACCAGCTATTTTAGGATTCTCATAAATGTCTCGGAATCTCGATCTCGCTGGCCCCGACAATGACCATCCGTTTTGCGTTATGTAATCAAAACTCTGATTTCTTATAATATAATGATGTCCAATTCTTTAGTTTGTTCGCGAAAAAAAAAATCGATCTCCCCGGCCCAGGCCTAAATTGACCCCTTTATCGGAACACATATCCTAATGACGTCATCAAGCGACGTGCACTCTAAACACCATGGATAAACTTATTTGGATAAACTTATCCAAATACAAATGACATGGACACGCAATTATCCTTCGATCATACTACCGCCTACTCGCAGAATACCGTGATCACGCACGCACGCACAAGATACAGTATATCTCACCGTCAGTTAGCCCCCGGATTCTCACTCATCCCCTTCCGTATTAATCTCCGTTGGGATCCGACGGCGATGCGTGCACTGCCGATCGGGCGGACGCGCCGATGCAACCGGCCATTACCATTGCAGCTGACACGGCTCGCGCGCGCGCCGCGGGATATTCCAGCGTTGATACGGGTCAAAAAGGGCACGGGCGCACGGCAGCTGACACGGGAACTCGCCGCGATCCCCGCCGTTTTATTTTCCAAACCAGCACGCGATCCATCCATCCACCCGGCTCCCCACACACGAGAAAAAACGGACGCCGCCACCGCCCCGCACCGCGCGTGATCCGTCACGGTGCGGTTTCCCTTTCCCATATAAATCCCCCCCGCGTCCGCTGCGAACTACTAAACCGAGAGAGAGAGGCGCACACACGAAGACGAGGCGGCGATGGTGAGCGGCGGAGGAGTAGCGGCGGAGAACGGCGAGATGGTGGGGAACGGGGAGGGGAGGAAGGGTGCGGGGGCGAGCGTGCTGGTGACGGGGGGAGCGGGGTACATCGGGACGCACACGGTGCTGCGGCTGCTGGAGAAGGGGTTCGCGGTCACCGTCGTCGACAACTTCCACAACTCCGTCCCGGAGGCGCTCGACCGCGTCCGCCTCATCGCCGGCGCCGCCCTCTCCGCCCGCCTCGACTTCATCGCCGTACGTGACTCACCCAAACAGCACGCGTGTTCTTCGTCTTGCACAGTTGAATTGAACCGAGCCGGCGAGGTTGAGATTGAGATTCATGTTTGTGTTCGTTTTCAGGGGGATCTCAAGAGCAAGGACGACATGGAGAAGGTGTTCGCCGCCAAGAGGTCCGGATTGGATCGTTTTGCTTCGATCAAACAAGCCATCTAACTCAAATCCTTTTTGATTTTGATCTCAACTCGTTCGTTTCCACACGTAATCAAACGCGTCGTCGTCGTCGTCGTCGTCCATTGATCGATCAGGTATGACGCCGTGATCCACTTCGCCGGGCTGAAGGCGGTGGGGGAGAGCGTCGCGCACCCGCAGATGTACTACGAGAACAACGTCGCCGGCACCATGAACCTCTACTCCGCCATGACCAAGTACGGCTGCAAGAAGGTCAGTACTATACATCTACACGATCACCTGATTGATTCCATTCCGATGCATGCTTCGATCACTGAAATCAACAAACCTACGCGCAGATAGTGTTCTCGTCGTCGGCGACGGTGTACGGCCAGCCGGAGAAGACCCCCTGCGTCGAGGATTCCAAGCTGAGCGCTCTCAACCCATACGGCACCACCAAGGTATAAGACATGATCGCATCCATTGCTCGTGATAAGCATGCACCCGTCACGCGCCATTCGGATTCGCTTCGCCGATTCGGTGATTACGATGCCGAATTGCGATGGCGATGATCACACCATTGCTTTTTTGCTATGCAAGCATTGTTTCTAACGGCATCGAATTCGATTCTCTCGTTGGGGCAGCTCGTCCTGGAGAACTACTTCCGGCAGGTGCAGGCCGCCGACCCGGAGATGAGGGTGATCCTGCTCAGGTACTTCAACCCCATCGGCGCTCACCGGAGCGGCGACATCGGGGAGGACCCCAGGGGCATCCCCAACAACCTTCTTCCGTACATCCAGCAGGTCGCCGTCGGCCGCCGCCCCGAGCTCAACGTCTACGGCGTCGACTACCCAACCAGGGACGGCACCGCGGTGAGCACTACACTGTTCAAGATCAATTTGTATGGATGAGATCGTGGAGCGAAGCAAAATTTTGACAATTTGATATATCGTCCTCAGATCAGGGATTACATACATGTAGTGGACCTTGCCGATGGCCACATTGCCGCACTGGAGAAGCTCTTCGCTACTCCTGACATTGGTACATCAATCGATGCTACAAACACACATGTTCTTCACTCCATAAACTGGTTGATGTTTGACAAGTTTAATTCATCCATGATGTATAATTTCTTTATTTTCTTCTGTCAGGTTGTGTGGCTTACAATCTAGGAACAGGGTGTGGAACAACGGTGCTCGAGGTGGTGAAGGCGTTCGAGGAGGCGTCCGGAAAGGTGACTGATGTAGTATTATTTATGCATCCATGTGTGCATGGTTGATATTCGCCTCATCTGAAATCCCAATCTGAAAATGTGGTCGAAACTGACGTTTCTGGCTGTGAAACCACAGAAAATTCCTATCAAGATTTGCCCCAGAAGACCTGGAGATTGCACTGAGGTTTACGCTTCCACTGACAAGGCCAAGAAGGAGCTCGGATGGAGGTAATTTATTCTCTGATTCGCTACAGAACGATCACACAAATCTGTCTGTCCATTTTTCCAGCTCACTGTTCAACTGACAGTTATAGTTTGTGCTTATGATAGAGATGCTGATTGTTTTATGCTTGTGCTGATTGCAGTGCTCGGTTTGGAATAGAGGACATGTGCAGGGACCAGTGGAATTGGGCCAAGAAGAATCCGTACGGATACAGCGCCAATGCTGAGCAGAATTAGGGCGATCATATTACCACTTATATAGTACTAGTATCAAAATTGTCCATGGTCTTATGAACTGTGTGACTAGAAAATGTTAATAAGACATGCGTGCCTCTTAA